ACCAGCTGGAGAGAAGGACCCACCAAAGAAAGACCCAACAACAATCAAACCCCAAAGACATCCAGAGAGCCAACATAAATAGCATAAACGGCATCCCAGGAGCATCAAGTTCAGGAGATCAAGGAGACTGCAATACTGATTCTCACAAGTCTCTTACCGTAGAAGTTCACACCACAAACTCAGGGAGTCAGAACAGATCAATTTAAGAAACAGAGGCTAACAAGAAGAGTCTCACAAACAATGGGGAGACAAAGAAACAAACCCCAAACAAAAGGAAAGGAGGAAGCCTCAGAAAGAATGCTAAATGAAATAGAAGCAAGTCAACTATCAGATAGTGAATTCAAAACAGTGGTTATAAGGAAGCTTGATGAGCTCACTGAGAATTACCAAAAACTACAGGGAAACTACAAGGAGCTTCCAGCAAAGTAAATCAACATGAAAAACGAAATACAGACTATCAACAAGAGCCAAGAGGAAATGAAGAACACAATTTCTGAACTGAAGAACACAGTAGAAGAAATCAAAAGCAGGCTAGATGAAGCAGAGGATCAAATCAGCGAGCTGGAGGACGAGGTAGAAAAACCTCCAAAAAAGAAAGAAAAAATCCTCAAAGAGAACAAAGAGGGATAAAGGGAACTGCATGACAACATGAAACAGAATAATATCTGTATAATAGGGTAACCAGAAGAAGAAGAAGAGCAAGAGATAGAAAATCTGTTTGAAAAAGTAATGATGGAAAACTTCCCTAATTTCATGAGAGAAAAAGCCACACAAATACAGGAAGCACAGAGGATCCCAATCAAGAGGACCACAAAGAAGCCTGCTCCAAGACTCATCATAATTAAAACAGTGAAATTCCAAGACAAATGAGAATCTTAAAAGCAGCAAGGGAGAAACAGGAAGTAACATACCAGGGAGCCCCCATAAGGCTAGCAGCTGATTTCTCAATGGAAACATGACAAGCCAGAAGGTAATGGAAAGAAATATACCAAGTAATGAAAACCAAGGGCATGCAACCAAGACTACTCTACCCAGCAAGGCTCTCAATCAAAAAAGGAAAGAGAAGTCCTGGCTGGCATAGCTCAGTGGATTGAGTGCGGGCTGCGAACCAAAGTGTCGCAGGTTCGATTCCCAGTCAGGCCACATGCCTGGGTTGCAGGCCATGACCCCCAGCAACCACACATTGATGTTTCTCTCTCTCTCTCTTCCTCCGTCCCTGCCCTCTCTGAAAATGAATAAATAAAATCTTTAAAAAAAACTTTAAAAAAGATTAAAAAAAAAGGAAAGAGAAATAAGGAGTTTCCCAGACAAAAGAAGACCAACAGAATACACCTCCACCAAATCAGCATTGCAAGATATGCTAAAGGGACTGCTTTAACAAGAGGAAGAAAAAGAGTGTGAGAGAGAGAGAGAGGAACACAGGTACAAAGGGGGTAAAATGGCAATGAATGAGTACCTATTAATAATAACCTTAATGTGAATTGATTGAATGCTCCAATCAAAAGACATAGGGTAGCTCAATGGATAAGAAAACATGACCTGCATATATGCTGCCTACAGGAGACCCACCTCAGAATAAAAGACCTACACAGACTGAAAGTGAAGTGTTGGAAAAAAACATTCCAAGCAAATGGACAGTAAAAGAAAAAACAAACAAACAAACAAACACTGGGGTAGCAATACTTATATCAAACGAAATAGTCTTCAAAACAAAGGCCATAAAAAGAGACACAGAAGGACACTTCATAATACTCAAGGGAAGAATCTTTCAAGAAGACATAAACATTACAAGCATATATGCACCCAACATAAGAGCACCCAAATATATAAGGAAAACCTTAGAAGACTTCAAGAAAGATATAGACAACAACACACTTATATAGAGGATTTTAATACCCACCTATCAAAATGGATAGATCTTCCAAACAAAATATCAACGAGAATATTGCAGCACTGAACAATGCCCTAGATGAAATTGACTTAACTGACATATATAGAACCTTTCATCCCAAAGAAACAAAGTACATATTGTTTCCAAATGCACATGGAACATTTTAAAAGATAGACCACATGACAGGACAGAAAACAAGCCTCAACAAATTCAAGAAAAATGAAATCATACCAAGCATTTTCTTGGACCACAAGGGCCTGAAACTTGAAACCAACCTGAAGAAAAAAAAGTCAGAAACACTCAAATTCATGGAGATTGAATAGCATGCTATTAAGCAATGAAAGGGCTAAGAATGAGATCAAGGGAGAAATCAAAAAGTTTCTGGAAACAAATGAAAATGAACTCACAACAGTCCAAAACTTATGGGACACAGCAAAGGCAGTCTTGAGAAGGAAGTTCGTACTGATACAAGCCTACCTAAAAAAGATAGAAACATTTCAAATAAACAACCTAACCCTACACCAAAAGAACTGGAAGAACAACAACAAAGACAGCCCAGAGGTAGTAGAAAGAAAGAAATAATGAAGATCAGAGCAGAATTAAATGACATAGAGACTAAAAGAACTATTCAAAGGATCAATAAATCCAGGAGGTGGGAGGGGATTATGAACAGAAAAGGAGGAAGTGTCATCAAGGAACATGTATAAAGGACACTTGGACAAAACCAAAGGTGGGTAGGATAGAGGTGGGAGGTGGGGTTGGCTGGGGTGAGGGGGAGTGATAGAAGAAAATTGGAGACAACTGTGCTTGAACATCAGTAAAAATGATTTAAAAAGAAAATGGATGAAAGACTGAAACAGATATTTTAGCATAAAAGATATATCAGTAGAAAATAAACACACAAAGAGATGTTCGTGATATTATTGTCCTGTCCCTGAGAGAAATGCATATTAGGACCACAGTTGAGGTATGCTACAGACCTATTAAAACCGCTGAACTGAAAAAATTTGATAACACTAAATGCTGGCAAGGATGTAGAGAAACTGAGTCTCTCATACACAGAGTCATGCACATAGTCATTTCTGACCCTTCACTATGTGGTAGCTGCTATGTTCTAAATGCTATCTATACATTACATTAATATTTCACAGACATTCAATTATTATATTATATTCATACACATACAGCTTGTGTGTCTCAGAGTAAGCTGCCCATGCTCTCAGCTCTGGGTAGCTCTGTTTTAGTGACCCACTTCTTGAAAAGGGTTATGAGAAATGCAAAATGTCGTAAGTCTACTGTCTATTCCCAGTGAGAAATCATTTGATCCTGTGTATGTTGAGGGGGGCAATAAAGGACCTATAAAATAGCATTCAACACAAACATGAGTTAATCAGCTTCTGAGCATCCAGGGTACCTACTGAGTGACCAAATAGAAGCAGGAAGTAATCTCAGAGGTCACTGAATGCAGACTCTCAACTGTGCAGTTCTTATTCTGCTATACAAAACAAAGATGGTACCATCTTATGTCTCAAGTTTCAAGCCAAAAATCTGTAAATTTTCTTCTTCAGGTTTATATTGCCACACATGAATAGTTTTCCTTAGCATAACTCTCGAGATTCATGCCAAGAAACTGAAATTCAAATCATCCCACATTTTACAACATAAAAAAAGACCCTACCACAGCAAGCCTTCTTACAGGCAGTATAGCACAGCAGTTATTAAATGAGTGTGGACTCTGTGGCAAGACTGTCTGGATTCATATACCAACCTGTCCACTTAAGGCTTTGTGACCTTGGGCAAGTTCTTTCTCTGTGCTTCAGCTTTCCCAACTCTAAAATAAAGACAATAGTGGTAGCTCCCTTATAGGAATGTTATGAGAATTAGCTTAATATACATGTGGCATCTTAAACACCACCTGCAGCATAAGTGTTAGCTATTATATGACCATCACTGATAAGCCCCACATAGATTCTGCAGACCCACCCACCCTGAGGCTGAGACATGTCAGCCCAGAAATGGGAGAGCTGGCAGTGGCCAAACCCAGGAATCCCTGCCTGCTATCAATATAAGTTTTGAGACTATTCTCTCCAACTCTAGTTTTATCTCTGACTCCAAGGATGACTGTGAGATCCTGTTCATTTTTCTCTCCTCTAAGCTAGGTATGCTTTGCAGCTGTTATTCCCATGTATCCTACATTCTAGAGAAGGAACTAAACAAACTAAAAAGCCAACAGAGAATGAAAAAAAAACATTGCCACCCTGTGGCTTTTCAGAGAATTCTTCACACCTCTTGCACTATTGGATTATCTTCTCCTTCTGATCACTTTCACCCTCTGCAGACACAAAACTGATGCAGGTGGTGAGAGCACCTCCAAGATTCATGGTACTCACTCAGAACTGAAGGTTACCTGGAGAAAATCTGACAATGTGCTTTTATTTATCAATAAGAGAAAATGAGGCCCAAAGACATGAGGGGCTTGCATTAAACCAGGGCCACAGTTGGGCTGTGGGTCTCTTGACTCCTGTTCCAAAGTCCTTTTTGCCATAGGATGTGGGAGCTCACAAGCCCAGTTCAGAATTTAAGTGCTCTTTAAAACACGAAAATCAGGTCAGTGCCCCTTCATTCTGACACAGCTGCAAAACCACAGTCAGGGGACATCCATGAGGCTGCAACAAATGAGGGTTATGCAGGAAATGTCACCTCTTTTGTGCACTCAAGCAAGAAAAGACACAGCAGTTTCCTCCTAAAACAAAACTGTAATTGTGAAAAACAAAACTTGATTGTGAAATAGCAGACATTGCAAACAGCTATGTTTACCCTCTCTCCTTCGGCTTTAAGACTTTTTGGATTCTTGCCCTAATGTCACTGTGCCAGCAAGGTGCAGGTGTTTCTAATTCCTTGTGATTTTGTAGCAACAAAAACTTTAATGGCAACAGTTTTTTTCTCCTGGAAATTTCAACACTCTGAATTTTTATTGTTTTTTAGTTTTGATCTCTCCCCAGAACAACAACAACAACAAACAGTAAAAACCTTCCATGCACTAAGCTATAGCACACCCAGCATGGGTATAGTGGTATAGACACAAAACTAGCCTCAGTTTCAAACCGACCTTATATTAAGCCATGACAGCATGGGTGTTGTGCCTCCACCAACAATCCAGACGGTGAAGAAGACAATGAGGAGCGTGGTCGTGAACATCATCTGGCGAGCATAGGATGCTGTGTCTCGGATGGCAAGTGCAAATGCCATTGCTCCCCTGAGGCCTGCAAGGACCAAAGAGGAAGTTGTCCTGGTTATAATGACAAATGGCAATGTGTCCTCAAATGCACTGCTACCTCTGGGGGCTCATAAACCATATCCACTTATGCTTCTGGAGTCAAGTTGTTTTATTCAGAAAAAAGAACTATAAAGGAATATAATTTTTTCCTGTTTGAAGTTTTCTTTTGCAAAGTGTCTAAATACAATGCTAAAAACACTGTATAACTTTGTAAAGGATATTTTTATTAATATTAATAACTCTTTTATTGCTGAAATAATTATCCTGCTAGTAATATGAAACAAAAAGAAATACAAATAAGAAATAATTTTAGCTCTCCAAGTCTGTGGTCCAAGCACAGCCCATTCCCTACATAGTCACTAAAAACTTAAGAAACAGGTTATGTATGAATATATCAAATTTATATTTGTGGTTAATGTATTATAAACCACAAAACAGTTCAACATTTCCTTAGCAAGGCCACACAGAGAAGTAACAATATAACCTGATCTACATCAGGGGTTGGCAACATTTTCTGTAAAAGATGACAAATAGTTTATGCTTCGTGGACCATGAGGAAAAAATCAAGGCTATCATGTAGGTACTTATATTAAAAAAAAAAACAAATTTTCACAAAATTTCATGAACAAAAACAAGAATATAATAATAATGAGTACAATCATTGTAATACAGGTCTACTATTGAAAAGAAAGGAATTCTTTGAGTGGGGCAATGCTTATCTGGCTTGCAAAGTTAATGTTCCTGATTATCGAATAGATTATAAATATTCATCTGTAAAAGCCATTTTGAACCCTCAGGGTATATGAACACAGGCAGCACCCAGATTTGGCTCAGGCACCACAGTTTGCTGGCCCTGATAATCTACAATAACATGTATTAAGATTAAGCATGAACATTTTAATATTTATGTTTCTAAGCTTTTTTGTTCCTTCCCATACCATGCTCATAATTTATTGTATAGTGAAGACTGAATCCATGGTCTTTAATACATATGTAGTTTAAATTCCTATTCACCATGAGCAAGATTGTGTGTATAAGAATTAAAGTTATGCCCACTATATCTGTTTATATTTTTTCCCACCTTTCCCAATAATTTCACAATTAATCTAAGAACTTCATTATGATTTACTAAAGAAGAATTATTCAACAAAAGTCACATTAAAAAACAGAGTGAAGTTAATGTTTTCTATCAATCTGTCCTAGGAAAATATTTATACATATCTAGATTACCCTATAGGCCAGTTATGTCATTGACCAATCAATCAATATTTAAGCCTCTAAAGAGATGTTATCTCAAATAGGATAACTTGGGGGTCAGAAAAAGACAATGCTTGCTATATAGTTCTTCATTTTATTAGGAAAACTTCTTCATTTTATTAGGTAAACATTGTAAACAATATGAAAGTGAAACTCAGGTAGTTCATGGCCTTCAAGAATGAGTTCTCCCAGCAGAATATAATTTTTATAAGAGATATCTTTAAACAGCACTATGTACTTCTCAGTCTTTTAGTACAAAAGATAATAAACATATTTTAAGTTTATCTAGGTGACTGAGTTACGTCCAATTCATCTGTCTTTTTTCTGCTATCACTTTCCTAATACATGAGGAGGATCTTACCATTGTCCTCACAAATCCCTAATGCTTCCAAACTGCTTCTAAGTAAAACCCAAACTGGTACAGCACTGGAGCTTCTCTGTGGTCTAGACTCCAGCAGTAGTCCTCAAAGTGTAATCCTCAAACCAGTAACAGCACAGAACATGTTAGAAATTCATATTCTCGAGGCTTCCCTGTACCCACTGCTTTAACCAGACCAACAGATGATTCCAGTGCAATCTGAAGGTTCACACCACTTTACATGTAATTTTCCATTCCAACCTTACCATCTTTCACCATTACCCCATGTGTCTTACATGTGAACCAGACTGCTTACCTTTCCTTGCAAAAGGCACATGAGGCCATCCTTCCCAGACTTTCTAACCTGCTGCCTCCTGAAATCCATTTCTTCCAAGCTCAGTTCAAAGGTTACCCCTTTGCAAAGGTGGCCCTGGCTCCTCCTCTCCTCTGCATTTATTCTATACTTCTTTTGTGCAATTCACCCCACTCTCTTCAGAGAAAGCACTTTGTACACCTGTCTCCCACCAGTATACTGTGAACTCCTTGAAGGAGGCTGGTTTCTGTGTCCTCTACAACCTAGAACTGTGGCTTATAAAAGAGAATGCTCAATAAATGTTTGTAAGAGTGAAAGGCAATCATTATGGCAGGTTGTACATTTAAGGGCAGATGCAAGTAAGACAATGACTACTCTGCTGAATAGTGCCAGTTGATGTGGTTTCAGTATGACTCTCTAAGGCCCCCAAGAATTACTGCATGGCAGTAAAGAGCAGTTACTCACTTTGCCTCTTGTATAGCCCCTCCCCATCCCCCAAACAGGACAGAAGTAACTTTAAGAATTACAGTAGCCTTTTGTGCCACCATTTCCTCCCTCTTCTCTGCAGAGATGCTGTAACTTGGGTCTTATTTATCAAATCTGATGCTTACCACCTTTTACTGCACTATCTATTCACGCAGATTGTACTCTCCCTTCTTTATCTGCACATATTTCCTTATTTTCCTTTATTTTCTCAGTGGCTTCTCCACACTTTCTAGCTTTATAGTGGAGAGGGGGCATCTGGGAGACAGTGTAAATCAGCAGAACTATGACAGCTGTTGTTTTCCGGTTTGGGGTCATCTTCCTTAGGAGTGTATTTTATTTCTTTTGCTCCATACCAAGTTAGAGCTAAGAGAGACCTCAACTAATTAGCTCAATGTCACTATTTTACAAGAAGATACTGCAGCTGGGGAAAGGGTGTTGAGTGACATGGCCTATGTTCTTTCTCATTGAAGACCTATTTTACTTAATTTAGTTCTGGAGCCCTTCTTGAAAATTAAGAGTTATGAACAATCTAGAGAACAATTAGGCACTTTCATATACCTCCAGGCCCCTTGAGTCGTAGAAATGAAATAAAGATGCAAATATTTTAGGTGAGAATGTTCACATTTGGTAGTAGAGTTTGCAAAATCAATATAAAGTAAGTTTACCATGTACATCTGTCTACTCAGCACTGCAGTGGATAAAACAGAACCAGAAACTTGAATTTTTCTCTTTTTATGAATGTTATCAATACTTTAATCATATTAACACTGCCTGCTGAAAAACACTCATTTTGTATACATTTATACTGTTTTACCTGAAAACATCATCATATGTTGAAAATTCCAGCCAATCTTATGCCTTCTGCCCAAGTTGAGGAAGAAGGAGAGCGGGTAGATATGTGCAGCTCTGCCCAGGAAGATGGCAACCTGAGCACCAAATGGAGGTTAAGGGCTCAAAATTTTCCAGAATGCCACTGTCATACAACCTCTGGTTAAACAGAGAATTTTAGGAATGCCATAACATCTCATATGATCAGGAGAGCTGCACCAAAAAAGCAATGCTGTCTAGTTTCCCTCTAAACAAGTCTCAACAACAAGTACTAGTCAATTGATCAACTTTCCCAACCTGCTGGCCCACAGAGGTCACATCTAGCCCATTATGTGCACCATTATAGCTTCATGATTTAATTAAACTGGTATGACCCATCCAATATATCTTAAAATAAGTCTGGAAATAAGGTAAGGTACCATATCAGGAGAGGGGAGCTGAGAGAAGCAAACTGTGTGTTGGGGTCTTTTGGAAGAAAAAACACAAGAAGAAAAGATTACTAACCTCTGAGTCAAACTACGAGGAGAAGTTTTGCTGGGTCAGAAGCTAGTAAGCTTTGGTTGAAAGTAAACACCAGGGGCTTGAATGACCAGCAAGAGTCTACAAATAAGAGGTAGGGAAACTTAAAGTACTCATAATACTAAAACACATTTATGTTCCTCACAAGAATCAACCTGGGAAGATTTCTCTACCTAAGTGGCTAAAACGTCTTTCGGAGATATAAGAAATGGAAAATGAAAAGTGTGGAAGAGGAACTCTACTGTGGAAACCAAAGAATTCAGGGAAACCAGTCATTCGTCACCTGCTGAATTTAGAACAGAGCCCAACAGAGAGCCACACATGTCCTGCTTACAGGAGGAAAGCCCAGTGGGAACCAGAGGAACAGGGAGCTTCCGTTCCAGCAAAGCACCAGCTGCCAGAGCTGCAGCTGTTTCAGATACAAGTGAGGGCAAAAGTATCTTCTGTCTTCTCCAGGGCAAAGCGCTGGCTAAAATTTTCTTTTTTTATCTTCCTTTTTTGTTTTGTGTTTAGCAAAAGGAAACAGGTAGTACGTATAAAGCCCATTCTACCCCAGTAGCCATGCAGAGATCCTCCTTGTAAACAGCCTTCAGGATTCTCAGAGGATCTGATTGGCCCCACTCCAGGGTCCTCATTTGTAAACAAGGGCTGCGTTCTCACTCTCACAGGATACCATGCCAGGAATACAAATCAAAATGACATGCAAGGTCTTTCCTAATCAAGAATAAAAACACTGATCCTGTAGACTTTCAGCTATTAGTTTGTCAATCCAAGAAATGAACCCCAGTTGAAGCAGATAAGTGGAAGGATTGTGACATGGCATTAGACCATTGTCACTATCTAGTTGGTGAATATCATTTATTCCTGCACAAGACATGAAAACACCAGAAGAGAAAAATGCTCCTTTTTTTTTGCCAGCATCCCAAGACCTAAGGATATCCATGAGGCCTTGGAAAAGGCAAAAGTGAATGCCCAGCAATATAGAACTCCTGCTTGGGATTTTGAAATCCAGGCTGAGCTGTAGAACTACAGTTCCAAGCCTCAGAAAAGTTCACTTAAATGAAAACAATAGGATCTGAAGCCAAGTGAGCAAAACCCTCAGCTGTTGATCCACTGCTAGGTATTCACATCCCTCCTCACTTGAAAGAAGCCAACCCTTAAAATTGTGTCTCTCTTCCAAAAACTACGCTCCCAGTGGGACTAAATCAAGAAACCAACTGTTTTTCCATTCAGTATTTTCTATGTTTCCTTCTTCATTTCTAGGGGAAAAAAAGAGTCTTTTCCACCTCAATATGTTAAGCTTGGGTGAAAGCATGCTTATTACCTGCAAGCTTCCCTGGGAGGTCAGAGAGGGCTGCCCATATCAGTATGCAGTCAAGAACAGGAGTAATAGAACCTTCGGGTCTTTCAAATGGGGAACCTCCTTGATCGAATTCATGTAACAATGAAATAATAGTTCCAGGAACTGACATGGTTGCCCACTCTTAGATCCGCTAAGAAGGGCTCTTTAGAAAACAAACAGCCACCTGCCAGCACTGGCATAGCAGAAAGGCCATCTTGCACAGGAAATGTAGAAAGGACAACCTCAGAATCAATGGCAGTCCTTTAAATCAAATAAATTTAAATGAACCACTTAAGCCTTCTTTTTCTCCTCATAAAAATACCATGAACTCATGCTGGCTCAGTCATGCACCCAAAACAAAAATTATTATTACTATAGCTTCCTCGGCAATAGTCACCTCTCCATGTAGAAAATAGTGGAACCAAAAAAGGATACAAAAGCTCCAATGATGAAAATTGGGCTGAAAACGTGCTTCTGGAAGGTAAACAGAGCCAGGCCCATGTAGGAGAAGATGAAGTTCTCTGCCAGGAAATGTAACACCTCAAAGAGCTGCACGGAAAGGAAAAAAGGAAGCATGAAGCCCGGCGTCAGTCACAGGTAACTCATGAGGATGGAGGGCTCTTGCTCACCTGCTTCGTTCGACTTCTTGACTCTACCGACAGATTGTTGTAGGTATAATGAGCTTGTGTGATTCCACAGAAAAGGACAGCTACAACACCTGGCAATGAGAGGTTGTTTTTTTTTTAATCAATGGAATAAAAAGCAGCAGGAAAAATCCCTGTGAGACAAAAACTTAAGGTAGGCAAGCCCAGCATATCCAAGTTCCTGAATATCTTTGAGTTTCTTATTACTGAAAGTTCTCCTTGCCCCCATTACTCATATTAACCTCTCTTTGTTCCAACCCTGCTTTCCTTCAAACCCAAGGTCCCGGATCTCATCTCTTACTCCAGATTTAAGAGTATCCTCTCTCAACCTCTAAACTCCTACTGTATTACCATCTGTATATTGCATTTAGCATTCAGAGAAACTGTGAAGGCCTATCATACACTTTTATCATAGTCCTCTCTGTTCTTAGAACAAAGGAGTTTAATTTCAAATCAAGGCTTTATATTTTTGCATGGTCTAGAGATTCAGACAAAATGGATCCAGGATACTATTCCATTTATTCAAGTCTTGACGATCTAGACTTCTGGTTAATGATAACCAGTCTGTTATGTAAGACAATTGATGCACTTGGGACTTTGCCTATAAATTTACAGATAATGGTCGAGTTTTAAGGAAGTGGGGCGTTTTATAATGCTGCATATAAAGACAAGTTGCAATTTTGAAAAGGTTATAAAAGAACTTCCTCACTACCTGTGTTATGTGTGGTATTTAAGTTTTCTAATGGAAAAATCAGTGATTTGGTTTTTGTTTGGTTTTGTAATGAGAGGATGTGAGGAACTAAAACCACACGATCACTCACAATAATAACATATGAAACTGGCACCATAAAAATATGGTATTGAAAAACAATGATTAAACAGACCTGAGGAAAAGACAAGGAGTACCTGTGTTCCCACTTATCTGAGTAGATACAAAATTACCTTTAAAAGTTTACATATTTTGCTTATTATTGCTGCTGTTTGTAAACTAACATAGCAATCTAAGGGAGGATACAAATAAGATATTAATATGTTCAGTAACCCTTGCAACTAAACATACAGTTATAATGACTACTCAAAGATATAACTGAGTTTGAAACAATAAACTTTATCCTTTAAATTTATGCAGCTTTGGGAAATAATTATTCATAAGTCAGAACATCAGCCTTGCTCAGTAATCCACCACATGGACTTTCAGTGAGCTGTTAATCAACTCCATGCAGCTGCTATTTAAGAATTCTTCCCTCCCCTCAATCTCCCACAGCTCCCTATACAGTGAGGGAAAGAGTGGCCCAAGGGTAGAGAAAACCCACCTGTAAACCCACAGGCTTCTGCCAAGAGGAACGTGCTCCAAGACATCAGGAAGAAGAGTGCTGTCTCCAGCAGCGGGAAGCAGTGCAGCTTTGTAAACTTGGTCACGTCAGCCCCTGTCAAGGAACTCATCTCCAGGAACAACTACCAGAGTCACTAAGAACCACATTCTATTAGCCCAGGATTCCCTCCCTAAGGACCATCCCTTCCCCTCAACTCTTCCTTTGGGGTCCCAAAGGTGCTGCTTGCTTTTTAAAGTAGTAAAAAATTAAGCTTTCCAGTAGAATAGAGATTATCAAGGGCTGGGAAAGGGGAATATTGTTTAATGAGTACACAGTTCTATTTGAAATGATGAAAAAGTTCTGGAAACAGATAGTAGGGAGTTACACAACACTGTGGTTGTACTGAATGCCACTGAAATGTACACTTAAAATGGTTATAAGGGCAAATTTTATATACATTTTACTATAATTCTAAAAAATGAATGTCAAATGCCAAAACCATCAAATTGTACACTTCAAAAGGTTGAATTGCACAGTGTGAATTTTATCTCAATAAAGCTTTTTTTTTTAAATTAGGCTTTCTAAAGAGACTGGAAATGGGTTTTCTGTGCTCCTTGCAATGCCCATGGGTCTGAAAGGCACAGTCTTGGCATGTGGTGCGACTGTCAGGTTAGTCCTGACAATGCTAGGAGTGCCTAGAGCTGGCCTGCGAAGATGACGCTGTTGAGACCTTGTCCTCTGTAGGCCACTGAGGCCTGAGTCCATAGTAGGTGTCTAATGAAGGCATGAAGAAGAAAGAAATGTGCCATGCCAGGGGCAAGTACAAGGTGCAGGTATCACCTTTTGGGACCAGAGATTTTTCTTCTGACACTGTCATTCCATGGAAGACCAGCATGGAAACATCTCATGGGTGGTTTTGCTGAACAATATAAATCTCTGGTGCATCAAAAGGGACTTTGTGAAGAAAGCAATATAAATCTGTGCTGTCTAGTATAGTAGTCACTAGCCACATGTGCTTACTGAACACTGAAAATGTGCCTAGTCTGAATTGAGATGTACTATATGAACAAAATCTGCACCATATTCCAAAGATTGCATATAAAAATTGAATGCATAAAAATCTCATTAATAATGTGTGTATTGTTAATTTGTATATTGATTACAGGCTGAAATCTGGCTCACATATGTGGCTCCCATTACATTTGTATTTATTGGACAGCAGTGATCTAAATGCCACTGAAAGAAGATATGATGAAGGACTCAGCACACCTGTGGAGGGGCTGCCTGCTCATTGCACACTTTTATGTGTGTTTGTGGGGTGGTTGGCTGGTTAGTTGGTTTTAAACTAAATATTGTGCAGCCCACTTAAGGAAGACTACCTCACAGTAATTCCCACTAATGGCCCCCAGCTAGTTATGGCCATGTTAGCCCTATATGGCACAGAATGCTAAGAGTAGCAACAAGCTTGGGGCTAAAGCACTTCTCAGCCTGCTTCTTCCTGGCCTTCTGTGAGGTGATCTCTGATTCCCAGCCTCCTCCTGGTTCTTTAGCTCTTTTCATCCCCCTAAAACTAACCTCCTTATTTCCCATCTCCAACTGGTTCATAGGAGGGAAAGAAAAATGCAAAGGTGAGGAGAGAGCTAAACCCAGAGTTACACCCCAAACATTTTCTCAGACTCTTAGCTAGGCACTCAACTGTCATGTTTTACCAAAGGGACATGTCAGAAGACCCCAAACCCCAGTAGAACAATAAATCTAAGCTTCACTTTGAAAGGAAAAAAATATAACTTGCTTTTTGCAAGTGTAATGTCATATAATCATACCCATGCAGGGCCAGAAAACTACAAAAAGGATATTAGAGCAGTCACAACACCAGTCACAGCTCCCATGGTAAAAGAGCCACTAAATATACCTAGAAAAATGCCAACTGACTTAAAAAACGCAGCAGCATCAAATGCATGAGTGTTCAGCCCTGCTGGCTGGTAGGCAACAATAGACCTAGAATTTAAAAAGAAGAGAAAATTAAAAAGACTGTGCTGGTTTTACACCATGGTACCAAAAACTATCCAACAAACATATGTATCTGTAATTCACCAGGCACTTCCCATGGTGTATTCACTTAACTTAGTCTCCAGTCACCACATTATGCTAGTACAGCATTCTGATTGCTGCTAACTGGACAAAGCAATATAACATAATCAATAAAGTTGAGAAACCTCATTTAGAAAAACACCCAATTTAATATTTAACACTGTAAGTTGGATCTCGGAATTTAGCCCAGAGCATTTAGGAAGCCAGAGTCTCTCTTCCCTGGGCAGAAATATTATTACTTACGAGGATAGCACAATGGCAACAGCATCATTTAGGACACTTTCTCCAAACAGAAGTGCATAAAGGTCCACATCTGCATGTAACTCATTAAATATTGCCAGTACAGTCACTAAAAAGTAAGTAAAAAGCACATAAATTAGTTTGTTTCTGGCCTTAAGCCATGGATGACAAGTTTATAGAAGCAATTCTTATCTTCAGTGGGACTGGGTAGTTTGGGAGGCAGGGAGTCAAAGGTGCATTGTCTGTCTATGGTAGAAACAAAAATGGCAGTCTTCTTAATCAGAATGAGTTGTGAGATGATGCTTGATTCTAATAACACTGCACCAAAACACTGCCCTTCCCTCTGTAATCCCATCACAATTTCTAAAAAACTCTTTTAAAAGATTTAACTGATTAGCTTTGGCTGGTGTGGCTCAGTGGATTGAGCACTGGCCTTCGAACCAAAGGGTCGCTGGTTCGATTCCCAGACAGGACACATGCATGGGTTGTGGGCCAGATCCCCAGAAGGGAGCATGCAAGAGGCAACCACACATTGATATTTCTCTTCCTTTCTTTCTCCCTCCTTTTCCCTCTGTATAAAAATAAACAAACAAACAAACAAACAAATAAATAAATACAATCTTTTAAAAAGATATAATTAATTTATTTATTTTTATAGAGAGGGGAAGGAAGGGAGAAAGACAGGGAGAGAAACATTGATTGGTTGTCTCTCTTACGCACCCCAACTAGGGATTGAATTCACAATCTCAGTATGTGCCCTAACTGGGAATTGAATCCACAACCTCTTGGTGTATGGGAGAACATCCAACCAACTGAGCCACACTGGTCAAGGCTATTATGAAACTTTAAAAAATAATACCAATTAATGTGATTCGGCTCTACTATTGGGCAGAAACCCTATTCTATCAACCACTCTGTTCCCAGAACCCAGCAAAACCACAGGGCACAGAAAAGGCTTTAATAACACTTCATGAAATAAGTCTTTGGTTATGACAGACTATACATAATTACACTTCACATAGTCTCCGTATTTCTTAAGCATTTAAAAATCTGCTAGTCTCCAGACCAGTGCTTCTCAAATTTTTGTCTTCAGGACTCCTTTTATACTCTAAAAAATTATTGAGGCCCCAAAAGAGCTTTAGTTTTGTGGGCTATAGCTATCTATATTTACTGGATTGAGAAAAACAGGAAAAAAATAAATATTTGATTTTAAATTACTAATAAACCCATTTATATGATAACATATTTTAATGGAAAATAGTATTTTCTAACAAAAAAAATAGTGAGGAGAGAGACATTCTTATACATTTTCTCAAATCTTTTAAAATCTTGATTAATGTAAGACAGATGTTTCCTAGTTCTGTTTCATTTGATCAACAGAGTCAATATCACACATTATGCAGGCAGTGGAAAACCCCACTCCACTGTATACTTGTTAAAGAATGAAAGTAAAAATGACAAATAATGTATTATTGTTATTGAATCAGTTTTGGCCTTATGGACCCCCTGAAACATTTTTGGAGTTTCCCAACTTTGGCTCCATTGCAATTTGGGACCAGGAAATTCTTTGATGTGAGGGACTATCCTGTGCATGGTAGGATATTTAACAGCATCCCTGGTCTCTCCCCACAGGACACCAGTAGCACTGCACACTGAGCATCTGGATGCCTGATTGTAGCAGGAGTTGTGGCACCAGCTAAGGACTGCTAGCCAGGATAAACAGCTATTTGTTTAAGCTGTTATTGCCAGATTTTTCTGTTATTTGCAGCCAAATGCATTATAAACTGATACAATTAGAAAAAATAAACCAAACAAATGTTTAGCTTAGTGAGTTATAAGCCAACCACTCTTGTAATCATCATTCAGTTCAACAAATCAGACTTGGCTAGCCTCCACAGAACTCCTTCCCTATGTTCCATCCTAATCTCAAACCCCTTCCTTCACTCAAAAATAATCACTAAACTGATTTTATAATAATTGCTTCCTTTCATTCTCTTGTAGTTTGACCACCCAATATATATTCCCTGACACTATCATTTGGTTTTGCATATATTAACATTTATTTTTAAATACTTTTTTACATCTCTTTTACTTCACAGTTACCCTTTCCACTCCTGTCAGTTCCCTGTTCATAAGCCCTACTGTTTAGTCCTCTCATTTCTCAATTTTCTAATACTGATATATATAGTTCTTTCATAATTTCTATCATTTAAAAATTTCCTTCAGGTTCTGATGCAATATTAATAAAGTTTGATCTGACTTTGGGACCCTATTTTTTGTATGACTTCATTATTTGTAACTTTATTATTCAGAAGGATTAACTTCATTTTTCTTACAAAATGTTTGCAAGTTCAATCTCAATCCATTTCTGCTCCTCATACTAAATCAGGGGTAGAAGGCCTAGAATACACTTCCTACTTTCATGGCTCTAGGGCTCCCTCTTCTGGTTTTACATTGAAGTATTAAAAATGTGGCCTCTGGGTGTACCCACCTCCCCAGCACTCTGAGATCTATATTCTCTGGTCTCTTCCTCCACAATATCTGAGCTTTCTTTCTCCTTTAAAAAAAGATTTTATGTATTTATTTTTAGAGAGAGGTGAAGGGAGGGAGAACAAGAGGGAAAGAAACATCAATGTGTGGTTGCCTCTCGAACGACCCCTACTGGGGACCTGGTCTACAACCCAGGCATGTTTCATGACTTGGAATCGAACCTATGACCCTTTGGTTCACAGGCTGGCACTCAATCCACTGAGCCACACCAGCCAGTGCTATTTTCTGGATTATTTATTATATAAACAATATCTGTGGCTCCTTACATAAAACCTATAATGGTTAATTTTATGTGTCAACTTGATTGGGCCATAAGGTACCCAGATATTTGATTAAACATTATTGCAGATGTGTCTGTGAGGTTCTGGATAAGATTGACATTTGAATCAGAAGACTGGATAAAGCAGATGGCCCTTCCCAATGTGGGTGGGACTCATCCAGTCTGTTTAAGGTTTGACTTAGAACAAAGACAGAGTAAAGGAGAACTATCTCTGCCTGGCTATCTTTGAACTGGGTTGTCAGTCTCCTCCTACCTTTGGACTTGGACTGAAACTACACCATTGGCTTTCCTGGTTCTTAGGATTTTGGACTGCCAATCTTGGGACTTCTCAGCTTCCATAACTGCATGAGTCAATGCCTTATAATACCCCTCCCTCCCTCCCTCCCTCTCTCTCTCTCTCTCTCCGCCCCCCAATCTCCCTTTCTCCCTCCCTCCTCTCTGTCTCTACACACATACACACATACACATGCATCTCCTATTCTGTTTCTCTGAAGAACCCCAACTAATACAAGACCTTTACTCTAGTAGTTTATCATTATGGTTGACCTTAAATGACATGAAAGTTAGGGGTGCTGACTGCCTTGCACATTTGAAAATCCACATATAATTTTTGTCTCCCCTAAACTTCATTGCCCCTCTGCATCCACAGGGGATTGGTTCAAGGATCCCCCTGCAGATACCAGAATCTGCAGATGCTCAAATCCCCTCTATGAAGTGGGGTAAATCAATGCATACATTTGACCCTCCACATCCACAGACTCCCAACTATGGGCTGAAAACTGTACAAGTATTTATTGAAAAAAAATCTACATATAAGTGGACCCCTGCAGTTCAAACCCTTGCTCAAGGGTCAACTGTATATGACATAAGAATTATCTTGTTTTTAACCCAATGTTGAAGAAAAATTAACATTGATAACAACTGTGCTAAACATTTTACAATCTCATCTAGTCTTCATAAAAGCCTATGGGTAGCACTATCATTTCCCCCAATTTAGAGAAAAGAAATCAGGTCCTTTATGATGGGCTACTTTCTACTGCAGTATTGAAATTCCTAAAATCTTGGTGGTTGAACCCAAGAATAGTTTTATCTGTTATTCATATAATATGTCCACTGGGGGTTGGCACCAGAGGCCTCTGTTCACATCACTCACTCAGGGACTCAAGACTGATGGAGGTTAATCTCCACAAACATAGCACAAGGCTGGCAGCCCAGGGTGCCTGAGTCTCAGGACTTTATCAGTCAGGGTCCCAGCAGGAAACAGATGACATCCTCAAATTAAGCAATGGGAGGAGTGTTTAAGAAGGGATTATTTATAGAAGTGTGGTGAGAGTACAGGAAAGCCACAAGGGAGAGGGCAGTACTTGAGGCTGAAACAGGGTGCTTTATCCCATCCCTAGGCTCAAAGGGACCAGTGAAGGAGTGATAGTCAGAACCAGGAACTATATAGAGAGGGTCACCTGAGAAGAGCTGTAACTTTTGATCAAGGGACACAACCAGCCCTCAGGAGCCCTGCATCCCCACCTTCCTTCTTTTGATCCCCCTCAAACAAATCCAATGGGCAACTAGAAGGCAAAGGAACCTCTGAAATCTTCCATACAAATCAGCCTCTTGGCATGGAGAGAGTGGAGAAGGGTGACAAGTCTGGAGGGGCACATAGAAGTATACAACATAGCCACCAACTATGAGAACGTAGTACACAGCAAAGATAAAGATTTCAGTAAAGCATTTCAGCTACCTGATTTTTGAAAGTTCTGAGTTTTAAATACTGTTTTCCTAAAATATTACAATTATCAGTGGTAAAAAAAAATGTACAGTTAACTCATATATTCACAATGAAGGATAGGTTACATAATTAATAATAATAATTAGCATTTCTTCTACTTTAGTATAAATAAAAATTTATTTTCTACTGTTTACACTGATGTTCCTGCTAAGGGCCCTGGAGATTTCTAAGCAGGGAGACAGTGTAAACTGATCAACATTTTATTTTATTTATTTTTATTTATTTATTTTAAAGATTTTATGTATTTATTTTATTTAATATATTTAATTTTTAATATATTTTATTCATTATGCTATTACAGTTGTCCTATTTTTTCTCCTCTCATTTATTCCCCTTTGCCCTGCACCACCCCTCCTACTAGCACTCCCCCACCTTAGTTCATGTCCATGAGTCATACATATAAGACCACTGGCTTCTCCAGTTCCTATCCTATTCTTAACCTCACCCTGTCTATTTCCTACCTACCATTTATGCTTCTTATTTCCTATACCTT